AGTGGAGAAAACCCTTCCTGATTCATTTTTGTACCTAAATTTAAAATATAAACATCTCTCTCTAGGCAAACCAACAACCGCTAATATTTTAACCTTGTTAGTTTGGCGGTGAGAGTTTTCATTTGACCCGAATATGTGTCATCTTTTCACTTATCAACACACATACCTCCATTGTTAGAAGTTTTTGTGCAATCTTTCTGAATAAATCAAGAAGTACATTACGAAATACACTTCTGCCAAATAATGTATATATATAAAATGGGATTCCATTTGTTAGATAACAAAGTAAAAGAGCTATATTATAAACTAAAGAATCAATTGCTGCTTCCAATGGAAATTTATTTGGTCTAATTAACATTGAATATATTTTTTCAAGAACTAATGGAAGAATAAATAAAGTTAGAAGAATAACTTGAATAAGGAGCATTTTAAGAAGATTACGATCTATTTTCTTTTCCTGTTTTGCTTTTTGTTGATTTTGTTGTTGACCAATAAGAGATATTGAAGGTTCAATAGTACTCTTACCAACAAAGAACATAGCTAGTGCATGTACACGACGACGAGAGTGATTTATATTGGAAATAGTCATTAAACCAAATTTAATCATAAGTAGTACAGGAAGTAATATTCCCATAACAAAAATTGATATATCAATTATATAACGACATAATGTATTTTTAGTATAACATGGAAGTGGAGTATTAATAAGATTTGCTTCATAACAATAGAATATTTCAGCATAGAGAAGACTTGAAATAATTAAAATGATTATTGCACCTCGTTGAGCATTTTTTAATGTAGCCCGCTGTCGATGTCGAACGCTGGTACTTGATAAAAGCCATCGATCAATAACAGCTAACACAATCAACCAATATGCGGCAGTTCTTGAGCTATATATAATAAAACCACGAAGTTTACATAACCATCCAATAGTATCTGTTGGATCAATTGTCCAACCAGCTAGCATTCGTGTAGTAATAGCAGACAGAATAGCAAAGAGATTAGCAATAGATGAAGTAAGAAAAAGCCAAGCACATGGATTTGAACGAAGTTTTCGTTGTGATAGAACGAAAATGTTAAGAATATTACCGATAACACCAAATAAAAAGATAAAAATTGAGAAATAACGATTGATTTCATTTGAAATATTGTTTAATAAAATAAAAAGATTTTCATCTGATGATGATGTAGGCATCTTTTCTTTTTATGCATATAGAGGAAAATAAAAGTTCTAAGAGTAGAAATATGGAAGATATAAAATTTTTTTCTATTATCTTCTATCAGTAACAGAAAAGAATGGTTTTAATGAAAATCAGTGTGTGTTTTGCGTGATATTTTACTTTGCTGCATTGATTATCTGCATCTGAAATTTTTAAATTACTTTTATCTTTTGAGTATTATTTAGTTCAACCAAAAGTTGATCTTTTGATAGTGAACTTCATTAAAGAACAACATTTGTGTAGTTGACACGTGTCTAAGGAAAATTTTCTATTTGATGTGTTTAAGAAAGCAGCAAATATTTACACTTGAACACGTAGAAAAATTAATATATGTATTGCTGATGAAAAGTCATCAAGTACTTTTTTGTTATTTCGACTAATGCTAATAAGCTGTATTTTTATTACATAAGAATAGATAATATTCTTGATTAGAGGTCATCCATAAAGAACATCCGAGTAAAGGGATCAAATACATCTAGATGTCCGTATATTTTTTCGATTTTTTTTCATGCATTTTCTACAAAATTTTCAAGTTAAGTACTATTTCACAGCATATCCAAAGGGTACCATGTCGAAATTCTATAATATCTTATTTATAAATGAATAAAGTACAGGTAGCGTGTATCTAATGATAGACTTAGTCCATTTTATGAAACTATCTGAGGTTTGCATGCATTGTAAAACATTGTAGTCTTGACATGGGCATAAACATTTCATCTTGTTGACAAAGAGAATTAATAATTTTTGTTACAAGAAAGACTGTTGATCTCTCGATAAATATCTTTCTCAATTGTGCATGATTTTGTAGGAAATTAGTTGTAAAATTTTTTGCGAAGTCTTTTTTATTGCTAAAATGAAACATGTTTTTCTTTAGATCATGATGAAAAGATAAAGGTCACAGACTTCGATGAATTAAATTTAAAAAAAAATTTCTTTTTTTTGCATAGTGTCAATGTTCAAAAATTAACAGATAAGAATCATGTAGTTTTTTTCAATCGTGTTGCAGTTTTATCAAATGCTTGGTGCATGAGTAAATATGGATTATTTTCTATTATTATTTCAGCTTGTTGTCCTAAATCACTTGCGGCTAAATATTTATTTTTTATTTCTTCGTCAAAAGCATCTGCCATAATTCTGTTGTCTATATAGATGGTTTCATCAAGACCAGATTCTAAACAAGGAAAATATACATGTATTTCAAAATAAACTGCCATTTCGTCCCGATCGTTTAGAAAACCATTGTTACTTATTTGAGGTATTTGAGTTGGACGCATTATGCTTCTCTTCAATATTCGTCATAAAATCTTCACATAATTTCCAAGAACATATACAATAAATCAATATATTTTCAATATATTTGTTTTTCTTTATATATTTCACTATATTTTTATATTATTCAGGTTTTCCCGCCTGGCAAACACGCACACAAAAAATTTTTTTTTTTTATATTTTATTATTATATATATATATATTTTTTAATTATTATATTCTCATTTTCCCGCTTGGCAGGCATATACACAAATTTAAAATTTTCAAGCTAATTTTCTTCATAAGACCCTTTTATGAAATAAAAGGGAACATGACAAACATATCAGTTGCTTGGGAGATAGCAAAAAGAAAAAGATTTGCGGACAGGCGCCATTCGACACTACGAAGTTGTCTTTTTACTTCTTTATATTGCGCTGATCAGAATAGAGTGGCGTACTTTTCCCTAATAATGATGAAAAAAAATTATGTTACCTCGATGAAGTCGGTACATGACCATTTCATATCCAGTCGAAAATATTTTTATATTTGCATAATTGTTGGATTGTCTTCTTTCCAATGCTATACTAACAATCGTTCTTGTCGAATGTTTCGACAGAGAGATCAGTGGTCGACGATGAAGACCTACATCTGTGTAATGATGTGTCGTCATTAGGGTAAAAAATGGCTGATCATAGTTAAAAGTTAACAGAAGAACGTCAATTTAATCAGGTAAACCTTGAATATTAATAATGACAGGTAAATATAGATGAAACATTTTAAAAGTGTCAATCAATAGTGATGATGCATATATCTAAAAACTCGAAATTTCATCTATTGAAAGTAGTATAGAACTGAAATAGATACAGATGAATTATGAATGATGAATGATGAATGGTCTATTCATTTTATTCAATCATTAAACTTCTTTTTTAAACTTTAAATGGTTACTATATCAAAGATAAATGATCAGTCTTCGATTTTACATTTTTAGTCATTTAGAAACATAACAATGTGAATTATAAATTCGTTCTTTTTTCATTATAGTTGTCAATCACAACTTTTTGATACAAAAAGAAACTGTCGAATGAGTTTAAGTGCTTCACCTATATAGAAATCGATTTCAGCTCTTTTACAATAAATTAAGATAAAAAGTTTTATGGTTATCACCAATTTGAGCGTCGCTTTTTGTCAATTAAATAAAGAATTAACAAAATTGAAAAGATTTAAACGCAGCGATTTCAGATATTCATTTGATGAAAATGATCCATGAAAAACGAACCACAATGATTTCTATGAAGACATAGATTTATCTGTATTGAATCCGAAAATCAAAAATAATGGTTTGATTCTCTTTTTTAGCTATTCAACAAGAAAATTCTTTTAATGAAATCAATGCATGAAGAGAAGATTTTGATTTCTAATTTCATAAAAAACACGAACAAATATCTTTGCAACATACATGAACAATAGATGACACAGATTGGAAAAATATCAATTATAATCAGCTGAAGCTAAGATAAACATAGATTCTAAAATTGTTTGAAAATTCTCATTTGTGTGTCGAAGAGAAACTTTAAAATCAGTCAGCTATACATCGAAAATTGTGAATAAAGTGAGAGGTGCAGCTATGAAATGAAGTGATGTGCACTTTTATGAAGATTGAAATTATTTGACATGTTCTTATATAGATTTCAATAAGTCAAATATCGATCAAATCGAATGAAATGATGAATTTATCAATTTATTTTTATCTAATATTCTCCGAAATTAAATCTTGACCAGGTCTACATATTTTCAAGAACATCAAATCATAGTCATTAATGTGTTTCATCTTTGAAGAATTCATTTATTTTGATCAAAATCGAACATGATTCTAGTCTCTGTAAACCTTCTATGTGAAAGAATGAGTCATTCATTACTTGAATATGAATTCATAAATAGTTAAACACTATCGGGACTTTATCCAGAAAATGATTCTAACAAAATCTTTCCGAGAATCATATACAGATATTCGAAATAACAAATTCCACAATCCTAAGTAAACGTGTGAATGAAGATTTGTGGAATATGTTTGAAGCATGACGATTCTCAGTTAAAAGTTAGATCTAAAAATTTCAAAATTAATGCATATTATCGATACAATCAAATCAAAGTAGCAAAACGACAGAAAATGATGATCTTTCATTTTTTCTCTCATTTGATTCATTGTATTTGGTCGATTTTTTGATGCACCAATTAATTCTTTATCGAAATTTGATTGAAAGTCATATGATCTTGTCTTCAATGGTCTGCCATTCGAATGACAAAATTTCGAATAAAAATTAATTAAAATAATGATTTGAAATATTTGTTAAAGAAATATATTTGAAATACTTCTCAGAAATGATAAAAAATTTCAATATCGAATAACGTAAAATGAACATTAGTCTGAAAAAGATAAGAACTACAAATTAGATTCTTATCAATATTATTTCAAAGAATTTCACAATATTTTATCTCTCATTTCTTAAGAATCGTTCGTGGATAAATCAATAGAGAACGGAAGAGTGAGGATGAACTAAAAAGTTGGGTTTGGTGCTTTTAGATGATGATGTTTTGAATGAACATAAAAAAAATTTAAAATTTAAATTTTGGCAAGTGTTTTGATCTCCTCATGGGCGTTCTCTTTTATTATTTGATAAATAAAATTATGTCTGTTGAGAACAAATATTCAATAATTAAACTGATAAACATCATATTTGATATGAAAACTTAAATAGAATATTGTGACATTTGTGATTAAATATACGAAATAATGTTTGACAATAAAAATAATTTGATGAAAAATCTTTATTAAAAATGATTTGAAAGAAAAACTTATGTAAAAAAAATAAAATATTATCATTTGTTATAATGTAACATTCTGTTCTATAATATTTTTAATTTTGATATATCTATTAAAATCTTCAGAAATTAATCGATTGATGACAAATTGACACATTGTTTTATTTTATAACTAAAAAGAAAAAACTTCAATTTTTCATTTGAAATATCAAATCAAATTCTCTTATTATCAATTATATTCGATGATCAAAATCATTTTTCACAAAATCTTTTTTTCTAAAAGAAATAATAATACAAAACGTTAAAATTTTGAAAAAAATGAAAGAAACGATGATCATATTGACTTGAAATAACATTCAACTGAATTCTTAATATGCTATTCGATTTTCTTTTTTTAATCTAAATTAAAATTTAAAGATTTATATAAGTTAATTTAACAAGAACGATAATAACAATCGACTATAATCAAATAGATAAAATCGATTTAGTTTCTTTGTTTGAAGATTTCTATTAAATATATATTCGATATAAATTCATATTCAATGAAAACGATGAAAAATATCAATATCAAGATTTATTTGAAATAGTAAAAATAAAATAAATTCATCGTTAAAATAACCAATTCTCTTCATATTTTATTCATGATTAAGATTTCAATCTATCAACTATGAAATCTCATCATAATCGATAAGATCGATCGATAACAAGAAAGAATATCTATTGATCATAGATTACAAATCATTGAAGAGTTTGGAATGATAAATGATTTTAAAAGATCATTTTTCAACTAAATAATAAACATGATCAAAAAGAAATGATCCGTTATTGATGTTGATTGTTGAAAGAAATGAGAATTAACATTTGACAATAGAGTGATCGATATTGAGATTGAGAATAATTCATAGAGAAATTTGTTTAGTAGAAACCATTGATCTGAAAAGAGAATGATGAACTGAAGAAAATCACATCGTTTTATTGACATACATCCATTGATAAATGTCCTCTTCAACGATGATCTATAAAATCTATTAGTATCATTATTAGACAAATCTAGTCAATAAAAGATGATCAAAATTAAGAAATTCAACATATCATTTGATATTATTTGGAATTCTGTTGAGTTATAAAACGTGTTTTTAATCTTAAGAATTATAGATGAATTCGATGTGATATCAAATATGAAAGGTGTGAGAATCAAAGACTTATACACACTTACATCCAGACCCCACACCCAAAACTACAAGAGAATCAAATGATAATCGATCTAGTTGAGTCTTTATAATGAATTTTTCAATGGGACTTGTGCTTTTCTTTTATTCTATTTGTTAATAAAATATGGAAATTATTCAATAAACTGTCTGGACAATATCATTTTTTTCTATTAACTGAAGACAAAAAAAAAATAAAATATTAATATTTGAATGTTTGTTCCAAAAGTAATACATGCGCAGTAACGAAAGAAAATCTTGCTTTTTTATAATGTAATTTTAAAAAGAACAGGAAAAAAAGGCAATTGGTTTTATGCATATTTTGTTTCTGCTTCAATGACTAATAAGAAGATGATACATTCGATGCCAATGTAACATATGTTTTTGTTTTGTTTATTTTCTTTATATTTCAAGAAAAGGTAAAAACTATCATGATTCATCTAAAGATAACAACAATTAGAAGTGTTTTCGATCGAACTTTTCTTTTCGCTCCTTGAAAAACAATTTCAATATTGATTCAGAAAAAAGTAGAAAAGAAGACAAAATCAATTGTACCTTGTTCAGCATTAACACGGCAATTATTTAATCATACGGATAATAAGAACTATGAAGAAGAATTCGCAATTCCATTATGGGAATATAATAACGAAAGATATACATGGTCACAAAAACCACATTATCAAAATAAATCAACAAGTCATTGGAAGAATTTTCGAGTTCTTACATATAATATTTGGTTTTCAAAAAATTATCAACCAATGCGTTTTAACAGTCTTTGTGGCATATTAAATAAATCCGAAGCACAAATAATCGGTTTACAAGAAAGTTAGTTTTATTTTCTTATTCTAATTGCAATTTTAAAAAAATACGTTTGATTTCTATATATATAGTGGCAAAAAATATTCTCAAACAACTTTTGACACAACTATTTGTTCAAGAACGATATTATATATCCGATGTTGATGGTCATACATTCAATAGTTCATATGGTGTTGTCTTATTAATCGACAATCGTCTTAATATTTCTAATTTAAATTTAATTGATTTTCCACAGTCAATAATGGGTCGTCGTTTAATATTTGCAGAAATTAAATTAGATCAAAATGAAATACTTCGTATTGGTAGTGTATTTAGAATCTTTAGATAATAAACAACAACGTTTATGTCAATTAGATATTTGTCGAAAAGTACTAACTCGTTCTCCAAGTAGTTGCATTTTGATGGGAGATTTTAATTTTTCTGCAGATGATCAAGAAAATACCGATCAATTTAATAGGCTACCGCAATGGATTGATGTTTGGACTTCCTTAATGAATTCTCATAATCATGGTTTCACATTTGATACAGAAACAAATTTTACGATAAATCTTCATCATAAAATGCCAAAACAAGCAAGATATGATCGAATTATTTTACACAGTCAAACGATTATTCCTATTCAAATTCAAATTTTAGGAAATCAACCTATCGCTAGTCAAGAACAATTTCAAATTTTTCCATCAGATCATTTTGGTTTGACAGCAGTTTTTCAAAAGAAAAAAAAATAAAAATATGATCTATACAAAATGAAAAAATATCCGATGAAAAGAGAACATTTATTAAGACTGATCTATGTATTATATTGTTTTTTGTCATGATTCTTTTTTATGCAAACTTTTTTTTTTTTGAATGACATACACATTTATTTTCAAAGCATTTGTTAACCTAACATCAATTTTATTTAAATAAAAATAAAAAAATGAGATCAAGACATATTAATTTGAGAAACGTTTAAGATGAAAATTTCGTACTAATTCTTCTTTAACATGCTCTAATGAGTAAGGATTTTATTAATGGAAGTAGAACTACATGTCCAAAATTATTATTGTGGCTTTACTAGATGTATAAATTTTACGTATAAACTAATATATGACGTTGCATCATTAACGACTCAGAATCAAATTTCTCGATTGACTTCCTTAAATAGTCGAAATCCTATAAAAAATTTATTACAGTCCGCCATGTCTATTTGAAATACATTTAAAAAAAAACGTAATGTTTAGCAAGATAGCGAAAAACTCAGAAGAATGACATTGTTGTGCCGATATATACGTCACGGCTCACTGCTCTTCCTCTTTCCTCTTCCTCTCTCTATTGTTCTCTCTGTATCGTCTCTCTCTTTGTTTCTCTATCATATATAAGCTTGTGTTGAATGTGCAATAGACACATTCTGGAGATGTGAAGTAGCTAATAAACATCATTGCCGAGTAGCGGCTAGCTACTCCTCCAGTCTGTCATAACATCTCTCTTCCTCATTTTATCGTTACAATTGTGTTAAATAGTTTGTTGCAATTGTATTAGAAATAGTGCGATCTCTTGAGATCATCATTATTTGCAAGTAATAAATGCCAACCTGAGAAGCAGAAAGATAGCTAGAACTATGAAATGAAGCAACTCTCATCCTTATGTAATTTATCGACGCTTCTTCATAAATGCTGGGAATTTTTCGACGTTTTTTTAATACTCATCAATTTTCTTTCTTTATGTGAAGGTGTCGAAAATTTGAAATTTGACCAAATTTTGTTTTCGGCGATGTTTTAAAAATTTTTAGATCGATTTTTCTATAAAAATTCGACAATACTTTTTTCCGAAAATAGCTTTAAAGTAATGTATAATCATTTTCCATATGATATGTATGCTCCAATTTTTCATATTTAATTTAGTTTTTATGTTTTCCAAATATTTTAATTAATATCTTCAACAAAGCTTGATATAAAGAAGTACTTAAAAAGATTTAATAGATAGAATGATTGAATAGTTGGGTCTATCATCAATGGACCCTTATTTAGATGGAAAAAGGTTTCAGTGAGGAGTTCCACCAAAATGTATCAGCTCATCATAGACACATACTTTACCGATTATTTTTTCACAGTTATAACTGTCATATATGTGACGAAAAAAATAAGCATGGGTTTTCGATGAGCTCGTTCCTGTCTTGTGAAAGTCGTATTTACTCCAATATCCATAATAAGATCACAAAAAACTGTCAAAATTATGTTATTATCGAGCAATTTTTATTATGATATCTCACTTTCCGCGTAAAACAATATTCATATTCATAATCAGTACAAAAACTTACATCAGAATAAATATATTTTATAAAAGAAAATTTTATGCAAAACTTCCCCACCCGTACTCTCTCTCAGCACTTTTCCCAAAACCTTGTCCAAGGGTCTTCTGAGATTAATTTTTCATAAAAATTTCATTTTGATGTAGTATATTTATTCTGATACAGTTTTTTGTGCTGATTCTGAATATGATATTTGTTCCACTAAATAAGTGAGATATAATAATAAGGGTGTGAGCAAGGGGGAAACAGCGGACTTCAAGACTTCAACCATAGTGACTTCATATTTTCACAAGACTTCTAAAGACTTCTAAAGACTTCATAAGACTTCTAAAGACTCCATAGGACTTCAAGGGACTTCACAAGACTTCATAGGGTTTCATGGGACTTCAGAGGACTTCAAAAGACTTCCAAAGACTTCGTGAGACTTCACAGACTTCGTGAGACTTTACGGACTTCATGAGACTTCACGGATTTTGTGAGACTTCACAGACTTTGTAGGACTTCTTGAGACTTTATTAGACTTCACAAGATTTCATAAAACTTCACAAGACTTCGCCAGACTTCGCAAAACTTCATAAGACTTTACAAGACTTCATAAAACTTCACAAGACTTCGCTAGACTTCATAAAACTTCATAGGACTTCACAAGACTTCAAGAGGCAGATCCTATGCGTATCAAAAAACCTTATAGAAATTACATGAAACTTCTATAACATGTAAAAAACAAAACTTATCATATAGAGATTACAAAGGTGTTTCTAGTTTCTGAGAGTTGTTTCTCGCAGTATATCCATATCTAGAATAATAAAGATATGGCAATGACACAAAGCGTTGATGAAATTAAAACAGAGAAAATAAACTTTACTGATACGCGTATATTTGATTCGATTAATCCAGCATTGAAAAACTCCTATTTTCAGGTGCAAATATATAACAAGACAAAATTTATACACAAGCAAACGGCTTGTTGTTTATTGACCAATAAAGCTAGCCATTTATCGGCTGATAGATTATCAGGAGTGATAGAAACAAACAAAAAGGAATAAAATTCTTCATAAGATTGACATCGAATAGATGGACACATTTCTTATAAAAATAAATCACTTCATTCAAAAAGCATTCAGTTATTAACTGTTATGTTTTCTAAGATCCAACAAACTTTAATTTTTTTCCAGCACATTGAAAAAAAAACAATAAAAGGTTCACCTTTCTGCTAAAATAAGACCGTCGAAAACAAGACAATTTCATTGGTTTCTTATGAATTTTCATGCACTAAATGTATTTCAAAACTTCCAAAAGAATTCATGAGACTTCATTAGACTTCAAGAGACTTCAAGAGACTTTATGAGAATTCATGAGACTTCATAAGACTTCAAGAGACTTTGAAAGACTTCCAAGACTTCATGAGACTTCACGGCTGAAGTCTCTGCTGTTTCTCCCTTGAGTCCGTCTAATTTTTCTCATATTCATATTCCAATTAAAGTGCAATCAAGAGATCTGAAAGTTTTAACATAAGTTATACTCATGAAGTCCTTTCTATGTGTGAAGTTTCAGGTCAAAATTCAAATTTTGATTTTTCTTCATGGTCCCCTGAGGGGAACCACGGCAATTTCCCATAGATAATTCGAAGAAAAAATCAAAGTTTGAATTTTGACCTGAAACTTCACACATAGAAAGGACTTCGTGGGTATAACTTATGTTAAAACTTTCAGAGTTCTTGATTGCACTTTAACTGGAATATGAATATGAGAAAAATTAGACGGACTATATATTATGCTATCTTATGATATTTAACAAAAATAAATGTTGCACCATTTCTCACATATAAGTTCAAATGAGCTGAAATTTCTAATTTAGAGGTTCCTCGATATGCGCCTTCATGTGACATGCTTAAATCAAACATATGAAAAATAAATCGTCAATCTGCATACTGAGAATCAGACCCCAAATTCGGCTCTTCCAGTCTTGTTCAAAAACGTTTTGCTACCAAAGTTCAGTTCTACAAACTTTTGAAAACGCCAGTCGATGCATTTCGATGTGCTCTTTCAGATGAGACTACTGTCGATTAATTCTAGGGCACTGATTCGACCAACTTGCCGTATCTACGTGAGGATGTTTTCTGAAAATGGTATATAATATCAGACAAAAATCATCCAGGAATGAGATACTTTTATTACCATAAAGATATAGCCCATCATCGATAGTATTTATGGTAAAAAAATCTCGGTGATGTCTCTTGTTGTTCTCGAGAAAACGAAGACTTACTGGAAAGTGTTGCACTATAAAGTACTCCAAATGGGACCTACTTCCTTACACTTGTATCGTTTATATCTCCAAAATAGCTCATCCGTTTGAGCTGAAATTTTCAGTTTCTTCTTAAATATGTTGGGCCTACCTGCTGTAAAAATATCAGCCAAATCGATGACATCGATCGAACAGCGTTAGCCGTGGTTTACATGCAGTGCCTCCAAGGATAATATTGCTTTCAAATAAAAGAATGAACAGATCGATTTTGAATGATTCTATTTTCGCAAAATATAAGGAATTCGAGAAAGATAAATTGTTGAAATCCTTCTAAAAGGCTGGAATTAATCTTGGTTGCTTATAGTCATACCTGAATTTCAAGATATTCAATGATTTTATTTGAAAGCTACGTAGATTAGAATAAAGCAAAAGTTAAGAAAAGTACTATATTAAAGGATATAAAAATTTGAAAACAAGAATAAGAATATATGAAAGGAATAAGCAAGAAAAATATAAATAGTGAAAAATGAAAAGTTGAATTAAGATTTAGAAGTCTCCACAAACAAAAAGAGAAGAGTTATAACATATAAAAAGATTAAAAACTATTAAAAATGTAATCAAGAAAATGTTTTCAAGTCAAAGCCAAAGTTTTAGTTCATAATGATTGGTTAGGGCGCAACGCCACCAAAACCGTCGACATAGACGTAACCTCGGTGACCTCCTGGCTCGCAGTCTGCTGCGAAAACAGTTAGAAGGAAGTTATGGCCTAGGCGAGTGGTATTGAAGGACAAGTGCTCTATTTGCCAAGATGGCGTATAGAAAAATTTTCCGGATACTAGAAAACGAGTATCGACTCCCACTGCGTCTGGTCCCCCATTGTACCGACGCGAGAGCAGCAACTCACCAGTGGTTGTATCTTTTAGTTCAATTATCATGAGACTGGACTCCACTACAGCGTGGCCACCATTTTCCAAAACGGCCAACCAGGCAAAGTAAATGTCCGTACAGTAATAGCTATTGATTTGCTGGGTAAGGGCTGAGGCATAGCCACCGCTGTCTGTGTCCTCGACACGATATGCATACTTACCACGGTACACAATTTTCGGCATCAATGTTTTAAGGTTTGGATCATCGCCACTAGTAACAATACCTGAATGCGTGGTTGCAATACTTGAAACATATAGCGAACCATTT